CCCCCCCCCCCATGTGACGTGTATATTCCAGGAAGGGGGGGACACATCATTGTCACCTAGGTGAGAATGGGGGAATGCAGGCTGCAGTGTGAATACCAAACAAAAAAGTGACAAAACTTTAAATAACGTGACTTTTTTTTTTTTACAGGTGAAAGTGTCATCTTTGTAGATTGCAGATGGGAGAAGGGTTACAGAGAAGCAAACTCATGTTTAGTGTGGACGTCCGCTTTAAGAAAGCCAAGGTAGACTAGCTGTCATGGTGAAGGTGACTCCAGCCCAGGTGAAGGTCTCCAGACCCCGCAGCTCTCAGCCGTTCCACATGATCACCCACCTGCTCTCACACTGGAATAGGGCACCAACCAACCACCGCCAACTCTCCGCCCGGCCACCGAAGCCAAGGAAGCGCTGCGAGCCAGAGCAGCGAACCCGGCCCTGAACGCCGCCATGACTACTAGTCCTGCGATCACCACTGCGCATGCGCGGATGAGAAAGCTCGCCCGACTGGGACGAGAGCCGCGTGGGGTCAAAATTCCTCGCGTGTGGGCGCAGCAAAATGAAGTTACGGAATGTCTGTGCTCAACATATATTAAAAACAAAGACAGCAAAATACTAAAAGGCTGCGTCTTCCATAATGTTGTAATTGCGCTGAAAGCACAGACAGCTCTTCTACTGAGTGTCCCTTTTCTACCCACGAAAATGTTCATAAATCACCACACTGGGTACATGCTGAGGCCAAGTTACTAATAAAGGAGTAAAAGTCCACATTGTCTGTGTTCACTTTATCCCAAAGCAGGTCCTATGGAAAATTGTGTTCATTTAGTTTTTTAAAGCATTTGTATAGCTGCCAAAATGTAATGTTATCATTCTGGACAGTGTTCATGAGGGGTAGAACCTCTGCTATGTTTAATTGTTAAATCCATGTAATGTTTACACAGAAAGAGGATGAAATTAAAGTCTACTGTCTAAGGGGTCTATTTATGACCGATTCTCAGAGCCATTCGCCCTACTCCACAGACACGACTTCATAGCGACGATCATTTATTATTTTTGAAAACAAAATTGTAACAATGATATGGTTCTTCAATAAAGCAAATATCAATCTTCTTGTCAAATTCTTTTTTGGTGGGATTGCTGGGTATCTTCTGATAAGGTCTTCTCAGCGGATCAAATATCTAAATGTACAAAGTGTATCCTTTTACAGCACTGCTTACTCTAATGAACCATTAGAGTAATGGGGATCCCAACCTGAAAATAGTAATTTCAGGGAGGTGCCCTTTTTTTTTGTATACATTTTTTTAAAAATTAGAAATGAATAGCTTTATCGCTATTGGCTATTTCAATTTGCAATAGCAAGCTGGGTATTGCACCCGCCCTCTGCTTCTGTCAATCAGCACTGGAGGACCTGATGGAGAACAGCAGTGCGCAGGTGCAATAGCTAGTCTGCTAATGGCTATTGCAAATTGAAATAGCCAATAGCGATCTAGCTATTCATTCCTATGCTGGTTTTTTTTTCTATGACTGACTGCGACCGGCGGCCCCAATGTCAGACAAAAAAAAAAGCCGACCTGTGACAGTCTCATTGTCACAGGTCGGCTAGAACTATGAGGATGAGTGAAAAGCATCATCGTTCTCCTTTAAGTGTTAACAAAACAACATGTAATAAAAAAATTAAATAATTACGTTTCGTCATCAAAAGACGTCCTCAGGGGGATCGCAGGTCTGAGGACGTCTTTTGATGACCTCCCCCTGAGGACGTCTTTTGATGACGTAACGCGTCGGCGCGGGGCTACACTTCTCAATACCACGAACAACCAGGAAGTACAGGATACCCACACGCTGCCTGTGAGCGGCCGATTTATTAAAATATACTTTTTTTCAAATAAATGTTTATGTCGACTACACTATGAGGAGTTTTTTATTTTTGCTAAATACTGATCCATGTGACGCTGATGAGACGGCTGCTGGGACTACTTATCGGCTTCTCATCTCTTTTGCCTACAAACACCGTGGGTCTGGTGAGTGCGCATCCCAGAGGGGAGTTTTGTCATGGACACTTGGTGTGGGAAAAAGATTAAGCTTTTGTTTGAAGCTTGTCTTTATCATTAATACATCATATATACTTGGATTCTATAATAGTTTCGGACTCACTTGGTGACTTATCACGTTGTCAGAGCACTTCTCTTGGTGCCACCGGAGTTCTGAGGGTAAGGGGGGAGGGGGGGAAGAGAGAGAGTGTGATCCTGGGTGCAATGCCATACATTAAAAATATTTGTACTGTGGGGAGTGTGCACTGTGCAGCTAAATCCTTATCAGATTTCTAGACCACCAGTTCAGCAGATAGTGACCCTCATGGACAGCACAGGGGTTTAACTGTTTGTTTCCCAGCTGCAGCAACAACTAATAAAGTTATACAGTGACTGCTACTTCAGTGACCATACTGATTATTTATTCTACAGACATGCAGGACAAGGCTTACTATGGGGCTTTTTTTCATGGAATATAAAGTTCCTACTTTTAGCTAATTTTCTTTAATACCATCCTACAGTTTACAAAATGAAAACTCCTCACGCCTTTTCTCATTTGCACTAATACTGATACCGGTATCTCTACCGACACTGGGAATTTTCATGAGTACCCATACTTGTGAAAATGCCCCAATACTAAACACAGATACTGGTGTTCCATTTTTCTGTACACATTTTAACTTAATTGCACCTAGTTTTTCGGCGGTGGA